CCCCTAAAGTTGATTCAAGGTGATAACGTATGGAGAAACTAGAAGCCAGTCATTATTACTGGTCAAAAGGTTGATGACAGTCTTTTATCATTCCTCTTGCGAAACTTTTGCTTTTCTTTTCAAAAGACAAAACCTAGTATTTTAAGTAAATAACTTCAGTAATTCATTGCATTATACTCAAGCAACGCCGAGCGATTCCTACGTTCTACTGGTCCTTATACCGGTAATGGATTTGTTGTCACTTTTTGCTGAAGTCTATAAACGACAATCCAATCCACTTTCGAAGAGAAAAAAAAGCCCATCGGCAGTTTTGAATCCGTCACTTCTGCTTTACAGACATATAATACCCTAAAAAACCCACTTGGCCATCTTCATGCTTACGGCTTGGCTTGGCTGATAAGCACTTATCCTGACTTAACTATATACAGATGCCACATGTTGAAAGCATTATTAACTCTGCACTAGAAATGATTCCACTTTTGATGAAGAATTGGCCGGAGGAACCCAACCAAACATCCCCTGTCAGCTCTCTGTAGCTGCTTCTCTAGTGCTTGACACTTCTACATTGCAGCCATCAGATGAACATTTACTTTGCAGCAGTAACCATTTTTTATAATTTGATGCAAATCTCCTCTGTATCTCACCCTCCACACTTTGGCATCTAATAACTACATCATTACAAAACCTCAACTCAGAGGGGGTGGACAGAGGCACCAACATGTCATCATTTGTCAACTCTTTAGAAACAGAAGTCCATGAATTAAAGCCAGATTTCAACTCTCTTAACAAGTTGAACGAACTACTTGCTAAATCAAATAGTGAAGGAATGGTTGATGGAGAAGATCTTCTTGACATTCTGTTACAATTTTCTAAGGAATTGTTATCACCAATCTTTGAAGAACCTGATATCTCTTGCAGTGTACCCAGAGAGGTACCAGGGGTACAGAATTTATTCCAAAAATGATAAACAAATCTCCTGAAAAATGAACAAAGCCTCATTACAATCATGCCATTTGATATTTCACCGATATTAGCAGGGTTATCCCTGAGCATGGAAAACTAATTATATTTTATTTGCTCTATAGTCATAGCAGATTAGGTTAGAGGATAGCATTGCCAGACAGGACTAAAAAACAACAACCACAACAAACCCGACACCCTCCAAAAACATTAATAATTAAGTTATGAAAAGCATTACAATCCAGATGTTTAGAGAGGAGCTAAGGTGAACAGGCAATATTTTTAGAATAAAAATGGAAGATAGATGTATTTTTAATTAATTCATTAGTCAGAGTGCACCTTATAGCACTGAAGTCATAGTTTTTTACTCTTGCTATAGAAAATAATTAACAATTACACTTGCCATCTAAACATCCGTCTAAGTCTGAGTCTCACAAAAGCTGAGGTCAGTTAGTTTCTCTGGGAAATTATGGGAGTAAATTACTATTTAGGTTTGTTATTTGTACCTGTGATACCAAATGACCTCATGCCCTGGGAAGGTTAAAATGAGATCACTGGTAAATTCCAATTCTGACAGCAGCAAATGCAAAACTTCACTGTGCGAACTGCAGAAAATAAATGACATCTGTTAACAACACACCACAAAATCCTTTCAATTACTTATGACAAATAGATTGAAAAAAGTGTGGACTGTTGACTACCAAGAACTGAACATTTCACTTAGGGAAAACCAAA